ACACATAAAGAAATAATTCCACTATAGACTAATTTCACTCTTGTGTTCCTCATATTAGGAAATACTTAAGTGACGCTGCAATATCTGTCCTGTCATAAATACCACCTTTGAGCGTTTCACTACAGTTTCTACTATCACTGTCACAATAGTATCAGTTTATTTGTGTGGAAACATTTGAGTCATAAATTTTAGTGGTTTCCTATCTGTGAGCTTTCTCTTTTTCTGTACATATTATGAATCATCATTAAAATGAATGTATATCTCTTTGACCTCTGTTACTGTAACTCCAGCTACCACCAAATGTCAATTCCAACGCTTAATGAAGCGCCAAAATCAAAACAAAACAGAACAAAACTAACAAAAAAATATTGCTGCATTGCAACAGCAATCATCTCTCCTGTTCATTTCTCTATCACTAAAAGTAACATTACAGAGTTTTTTGCACGAAAAATGTAGTGCAGCAAGATAAGCACTCCATCAGTTACATAACAGCTTTAGATTCATGGGTTAACAGAGGTCATACTGAAGAGGAGTGAAACCCGTGACTTCAAATGATAAAGTACAGTCCACCAATGTGCCCTCATTACACTCCCATAAAGCAAAGGTAAATGTATATTTTAATTTTCTAAAAATGCACTTTAATATCATTTAAATCACATTACTGTTTTATACGCTTTATAAAAGAACAACAAAAAGATGTTGAAAATGTACTAATTAAAAGTACATTGCTCCCTTAATGGTACTTCAGTGTGCTTTAAATACGGACACTAAATAGCACGGATTCTTAAGTTGATATTTAGTTGATTCTTATGTAGTGTAAGTCTAAAAATAGAAGTGTTTCATTTAGGTGTTTCTTAATCGTGTGCTTTGAATGCTTTAAACATATGCTCCATTTGAGTGGATGACTATTTGAAGTGCTCTTAATAGGTTGCTTTTAAGTGTAGCACGCTTAAAATACGTGTAAGCTTTTAATATTTCAAGGATGCAGGTGCAAACTAAACGTTCTACTGGGTGGACCAGTGTGCCTAAAATTTACGAGGTCTGATTGTGTAAAATTTCAAGCTTCATTAACTCATTTAATTGTTCTGTTGTAAAAAGTTATGGTTGAGGCGTCCTGCGATGGAGGTTGCAAGTCAGGGTCAGGTGGTTGATTAATGCATATATTAGCAGGCTGGATGGTGAAGATTGACTCTGATAGCAGTTTGGTTGCATGCAGGTATTAAAAAGCAACAACAACAAGAACAAAAAAACAACCTACAACTATTGTTTTCCTACCTGAATACTTTATACTGGTTCATGGAACGATATCTCACCCTTGGCAACGTTATTTGAACGTAATCAAATATCACATCTATACACGTGTCTATCCAGAGCATCACATGGTAGACGCTGTTGGAAATGATTACTTAGAACACAGAAGTTTGTGGACACTCCAGTGCCTCGGTACAGTCCTCACTAACATGCCAGCAGCCCGTTGTTGTGCTTCTGTCGACACTGTGCCATTTACATAAAGCTGTTATTTTTAAGGTAGACTTTTATAGTCACTGGTCAAAGGTCTGTATACTGGTCACATTGTCTGATAGCGTCACCTGACGAGGGTGTGGATTAGCTCAATAGCCAAGATTTTGTCACCAGCTGAATAACTTCTGTTCACAGTTGGCCAAATATCACCCTTTTCTAAGGACAGTAGATATGAGATTTTTATCTGTTTTCAAGGTCAGATAAGAAGATAGGTTCTGTGTTTATATTGTTACTCAGTGCTTTCACCAACAGACAAAACAAAGGTAGCCGTCACACTGCTAACGAAGCATTTGGCATTGTCCGTCTTCTTGGGGTGGGAGCACCTTCACCGGCGTTGCTGAAAGAATTAAAGGAATTGTTGGTGGATATATTTCAATTCTGTGATGAGCTTCACACTCGATGTTTCTAAGACCGTTCCTGTCCTGATCAAGAGGACATCTAGTACAAGTCTTCCTGCACAGCACTGATGGGAGAATGGATGGAGGTGTTAGCAAGCCTCGCTACCCCAGCCAGGACTGGGGCTTTCAAACCCAGAGGTCTCAATAGCCTCCCTTGCCCGTTTTGTTTCCCGTGACAAATGCAGCTGTCAGCAGAAATCTAGAGTTTTGGTGCTGCTAATTGTAATAATAATAATAAAAAAAAAAAAAAACACATTGTGCTGCTCAGTTGTTAACTTTAAGAAATTTGATTATTTTTATCTTTTCCATATTTCCAGACAACAGTGTGCTCTATAAATGTATTATGGATGTCACTTTATGGTTAAAACTACTGTTTGTTTATATCATTCCCAAATGAAAAAACAGTTTCAAGCTGAAATTGCAACAGGTGGGATCTGATTTCCAGATATTTCCATAGTATACATGCTTCCCAGTGGCATCTGCTGAAGATGTCAAGTGGTGGGTGGCTTCTTTGTTTGTCTATTAGGAGGGTAATAAACAATGACTAACTACTAATTCAAATATATTAACTAGTAAGGGAGCAAACCAGTGGTGTGTTGCATGTCTAACTGCCTGTTTCCAACAGAGCATGTGCTAACTTCATTAAAACAGACTGTATGAGCTAAAGATGGATGATTTGGCCGCCACTGCTTCATTTCGATAACAATGACAGTATGTTAGTCATATTATCAGTGATATAACCATGTGACTGTTAAACACGACTACATGGTTAGATGTGGAATTTTCCTTTTTTTATAGGCATAGTAAAACCATCAGGAAACCAGCCAACTTATATAAAAGTTTAGGGTGGTGCTCTTGTGATTGATTGTCTGTGATTTGTCCCCGTGGCGTTTCTGTAACTAGCTGTACAAATGGTGACTGGTTCTGCCCACATTACTGCCAAAAAGAAAAACTTTCACCAGAGAGCAGAGCAGAGCAAAGTCACTGAGTTGGAGTGGCGTTCGCAGCTTCTTTACATCTGCGAGCGTTAATCTCGCCTGCACTTGTGGATTTGGATGTATTTATAATGCATAGCAGCAGAATAATTTCTTTACAAAACACACCGTCAGTGCTGACGTCAGCTGAATCTGAATGTTATATATGACAGCTGAATTCCTTTTAGCAAATATAAAATACACACCTAACTGGGATGATGATACTTACTGTACGTATTTTTTATTTTTTTTTTCATTCCTACCTGATATGGTCAACCATTTTTCTTTTTGTATTCATCACCAGAACATGCAACCTTTTCTTTTTAGTTCTATAACAAAGCTGTGAAAGAGCCAAAATGCAGGATTGTTTTTTTGTGTGTGTGACAAACATTGCACATGTTTCAGTGGTTCCATCATAAAAAAAATGAGTTATAGGAGATGGGCAACACACACACAATTATGATTATATCACATCATATGTATTCAATAAATAGCTGGTCCCCATAATTCTGAATGATAATAAAGGTAGTGCTGACTCATGAGATGAGTCAGCACTACCTTTTTGAAAGATACAGAATTTTGTCGACCACACACACACAAACACATGCACACATTTATTATTAATCAATTATTAATTAATATTACGAAAAATAACATCACTCTTATTTAATAAAAAGCTGGTCCCCATAAATCTGAAAGATAACAAAGTGCTGAGTCATGAGATGAGACACGTCGATGACAATTGCAATTAAGCTCTTTTTAATGGCAATTCATTCACTAATGTAATTACTAACATCTTATTTAGCTCATGGCACAACAAAGAAAAAGAAAATCATATTTTGTGAGTATTCTGATTACTAGACCACTGTATGACACATATCTACAATATTTACACATTTTACATATTTGTGGACGTACGGAGCAAACAATGGTGTGATAGCAGATGCCAGCCCTTTTAAAACAGATACGACACTTGTTATCAGAAAATACTTAATACATCGGAGAAATACATCATTTGTACACCTTCTTACTGACATCACACAAATAAATCTGCTTACCATGAACCTTAACACAAGATATTCCTGGATGACCACACGGTTAAATAAGAAACACCCTTATCAAAGTCCAACATGTCATTTTCGTTAAACAAGTGATCAAAATCAGCTCATGTTATGTCATCTGTGTTTCGTCAGCAATTTCCAGGACTAAAGCTAAAAACGTTTGTCCAACTTCTCCTTCACTCATGTTTTACAATTCTAAACACTGACGCGCAATTTTAGAAAGCAAGAAAAGCAGCCAGAACTAGTGTCAAACATTAGACCTTCTATAATCATAGAGCTAAACTATAACCCCACTGTGGGATTTTGTATTTCTACAAATAAAGGTGACTAGACTTGAGCCTGAATTGGTTCAGCCCATCACAGAGAGGAATTCATACTTGAAACAGCCTACTTAAACATGTGCAGCATATAAGATACGACAGGTTAAATATTCAAACACTATATCTCATGATTCATCGAGTGAATTGCACCGCTACATATATTCATCATGTTACATTACTACCATTCAGTAAACTAAAGTCATGTGAATTGCCACCATATATGATTAAATGTCTGACACGTACACAAACTACATCTGCACACTAATAACATGACTAAAAACATTTTACATCGTTAAACTGTGGAAACTATTCGGTGAAACTGAGGGAGGAAATATTCTCCCTCAATGTGGTCTGAGATGAACTTAAAGCTCTTTGAGTGTATCGAGGATTGATTTGAATCTGGCTCAGAAGTCTGACTTTAATCCTGAGAGAAATGATACAAAAATAGATTTTTTATAAGCAATACAAATTTTCATCTGGATTTGATCTTCCCATGTCTCCAATTGTGCTTCTGTATCAAGACTGCACCGTTCACAACAGTGAAAGAAGACGGAAGATATAAATACATTCTCTTCTGGGCAGAACAGCTTCAAATGCTCTTGCTGGTGTAAAATTTGATGAAATTAGAAACACTGTTTATTATTTGCCACTGTCCCTCCTTGCAAGAGGTGATGAATGATGGTCTCTTGCTGGAGGACAGATATCGTCCCTGTCACAGTCTGCTCACTAAAACGATACTGCATTCAGAGAATTCTCCTGCTTGTGATGTTTTCCTTGTTTCCTCTTTCTGCAGAAGACGTACAGAGCTGTGAGGGGAACACAGCTGACCGAGGACACCAGCAGCAGGCCGATGAACACTTGACCAAAGACAGGATAGTTCGTCACCACTGATTTACCCTGCAGGGAACAAGACGCACAGTTAACACCTGTTGCCACCTCTTTGCTAATTAGTCACTCATTTTAGCAGAACATCAAACGATTGCGTGTGTGTAGCTGATGCTACACAACAATGTTGTTGCTCAGATCCCTCATAGATGGAGCCCAATTACTTTCATCCATGTTTAATTTTTTAAAATTGGTTTTCTTTTCATCTACAGCAGAATGAAATATATGCCTCAAAATGCAAGTTGTATTTTACTCAATAAAATCATCAATACAAGCATGACACCTAGAAATGGCCGTACTGAAGTACTGTTTGAAGAATTTCCCACTACATCTTGTACAATGTTTGATTTCCTCTGTGCAGTATATTAAACATGTTTAGGCATCACACAGCAGCACGAATTACACGAGTTTCATCCACAGCAGAGACACGTGCTTTGCTCAGGGGCCGATTAATAAACAATAGTAATGGTAATATTCATCAGATGAAATAACTAATCATTAAAAAAGCCCATAATTCATCCTTCTTTGTAATCATTTTATAACTCCATGAGTAACATTTCGCATATAAACAAAGAAAGTGATTCCCAGTCTTAATCATCTGGTTGATGGGCCAGGCTAACCCTAAGATAAGATAGGATAAACTTTATTGATCCCTCACCGGGAAACTTCACAAGGTTTTTAAGTTTAATTTACAAGTTTATAAGTTTATTATTATAGTGTCTTTGATTTCAGAGAGGAGTTACAGTATGAGTAATCGTTTACATGGATCATAAAGCAGCAATAAATGTGTAATTTATGAAAACTATCTGTCAGCAAGAGACCAATCAGGAAATAATGATAGTCAAAGCGTGACTTCCTTGATCCATGTGGTTCCAGAGTGGGCAGTACTTGTACATGAATGGCACCAAACTTACCTAAGTCTTCTCTATTGTCTCTGCCTCCAGCTATCTTTCTACTTCTGCTCCAAGGTACAATGTTTCATGATATAAGGTTGGCTTCAGATAATCAGCCTCGGCTCCAGCAATCATTAATACAGAACAAAATTTTAATATAGACCCTAATTCTTTAAGCTGAATGTTGTCCTTGAATGTTGCTTATCCGAGCCCAAGGACAACGTGTTAGTACGACAGTTCCACCTCCTGACAGGATGAGGACATGTGCTGGTGTCTGAGAAAGTGTCCAACGTCACATTGCTCTTGTCAAAGACACAACTTTACATACAGCAGATGCCAAAGCCGTGTTACAACTGACTCTATGGAGAAGTAAGGTTTCTTCCAAAGAGCACAGTGGGTCGACATCCATCACACACTCCAAGCTACTAACATATGATTACCAGTCCAGCTCTAACTAATTAGTGTTCAAAATATTTCATTTTCAACAAGTGGACTTGAATTTTGACTCATATTTGACAAAACTGTTTTTTTTTGTAAATATAAAAAGAGGGTCAATTGTCATGCATTTGGAACCAGAAATACTTCAATTTATCAGAAAATTTGTTTAACATAGTACAAAAGTCTTTAATGAATACTAACAAATATTTTGTACATATTCTTTCTTGGGGTCCAACGGACCCCGAAAGACCTTCGACGTATGGCAACATGAAAGTCCTGAATAGGGTTAATGGGACCTTGCTTGATTATTAACAGCCAACTCTAGGAGGAATCATTGTGGTTCCAAAGTTCTTCTATTTTTATATACTTGCTCTTTGGGAAACTTACAGGCTTAATAAAATAATTAGTAAAATAAGTAGCCCAGAGGTGACTGCGTTGTGTGACTGCGTTGTGTAACTGTGTTGTGCCCCTGCCACTGCTTTATGTTTTATGCTTTATGTAACTGTCACACCTGAGACTTGTGTTTGAGTTTTAGAAAATACATTTGTCCCATTACTAGGGTTGTTTTCAGTGTGGATGCAGTTCCCTGTTACCTATATATGCTGAATAGTTAAGCTACAACCCTAACAAATCTTTTCTATCACACCTGTGTTTACAACATGCAGGCAGCATGAGAATCTGCTGCTTGCTGCTTTCTGCTTTAAATGATCGACCAGCAGTAGATTATACAAGCTGTAGCTAATTATTGCTAGATGTAATGTGATTCTGGTTTGCTGTAAATCGGCTATAAAATGATTAAAACAACTTCTAATCATGCCATACTATTTGGAAATGCCAGAATAAACAGTGTACTACTACTTAGATTTGTTTTGGGAAATCGTTAAAACCAATAGTCACATGGAGGATGTTTTATTTACATTTTGGTGCCCTTGTAGTGGCCTGAGGGCATTGACCTTTAAATGATGTTTTATGACCGTCATATCGCGTCAGGTAGTAGATTTACAGGACTGACGGTCTCAGTCATTTCTGCACTGCGTTCATAAACAGATGCTTTGTCCTGGATCATTTTACGGTACATTTTTATTTTTAACTATGTCACAGTATAATTTTCAGTGCACCCAGTATGAAAATGAGCTTATAATTGGTCTGATAACGGCTTCATAGCTTCCTTTTATGTGGAATGGCATTTGTCTGGGCGGAGGAACAACGTGACACAGAAGCCTGAAGTAGGTGTCTCACACTGAGGGCCAGACAGGTGGCACCTCCTGATCTGGTATGATCAGATCTGACTCGTTCTGACCCAGGTTAGCCACGGCACATGTACGTGTTTACACCAGCTTGGAAACTGAAAAGCACATGATATTAAGTGTGACAAAAGAAACCAAACGTACCTGTTCTTTGTCCCATGCTTGGTAGGTGGGCGTCCCTCCCTGGATGTAGGTGACAATGTAGAAGATGAAGATGATGATGAGGAGGAGGGGACTGACTACTGTCCACATGATCTTCCAGTACCAGTTGGGGCGATGACCGAGCATGTCTTCTATGTCTTTTTCAAACCTAAAATGAGTAGATAAATATCATTTAAATCAAATACTACACTCTATAGCTTGACAGCATTCCTTATGATTTTATTACATATGTGGCACTACTGATTAGTTGAGCCAAAAGCAGAGCTTAAAACCAACAAATGTGGGAACTACCACATACAACTACACAAACCTTTTAATTCCATAGATGTAACTGACAGTTATGACCTCGATGAGGACGATGAACAGCAGGGAGAAAGTGGCTCCATAGTCATTGAACATGGTAAACCAATAATTCCCTGATGTGGTGGTAAAGCCCAGGCCCAGCAGCAGACAGAACACACAGACTAAACCTGCAAGAAAAAGTCAATCCTCAGTCACTGATAGCCGTTACTTAAAAATGTGAGTTTTAGCATTCGCTGCATAGTACATCACTATGCTGCAGTAAGCAGCAGACATGGCAGTCCTGGTTTTGTAATGACTCCAATAACTTTTAAGGCATGTGTCTTTGTCACACAAAATAACATTTATTATAGGTCTTGTGGAGATATGAAAATCTGCAGGGATATATATATAAATATATATATTGCTGTCTGTATTTTCTGTGCACAGGACTGATCATGTACGAACAAGATGTGGATATAACAAGGCGTGTAGTCACTTTTAAAATGTAGCATTTTAAAATCAGAAGCATTTGTACCTTCTGATACCAAAAACATTTACACTGGCCAATTTATTTCAATGCACACAAACACAATTGGTTTTCTGTACAACATAATTTCTTAGTGTAATCTTGTTTCTTAATTCCTTTCCTCTTTTTTTTTTTCTTTTAAAAACCATTATTTAGGTTATTTATGCACTATTTTGAGAAAATTACTGTCTTACTTAGCAAGTATTTTATTATGATGAAACTGGTGCACTCAGCAGAAAAGGTTTGCCACCTGTGGAAAGATTTGATGCTACTTTTCACTGGAGTTACTTATTAAATGTGTAAACAGCATACTTTATCCGATTTAGTTTGTAATCCTAACTAACACTAGTATGGCAGTAGTTTACTGAATATTTTACCACAAGGGTGGTGAGCATTTACTATTCACCTCAATGAAACCATTTACTAGGAACCTCAAGCTGGATCTTACCATTAAATACCTCGTTGCTCATGCGGGACACAACCTTGAAGTCTCGTAGTGGGGTGATGATGGCGGTGATGTTACCCAACATGCTGCCAACTCCTAACAGCAGGAGCATGACGAAGTACAACACTGACCACAGCTGAGACACTGGCATGTTCTTAATGGCTTCACTGTACACTATGAATGCCAGACCCGTCCCCTCTACAGCCTGAAAGAGATGAAAGAGAGGATTTAAGGCCGGAGTGGAAGCTGAATTGGGCTTTGACCAAGTTTGACTTGAGCTCTTAACAAACAACGATTTACTGCGTCCAGATGGCCCTTTGTTCAACAAAGTATCAGTGGTCAGGTCTTGAGAGAAAGTAAGCACACATCACTTAAACAATACCAAAATAATCTGTGAAATAACATATATGACATTATGTGGTTAAAAAAAAGAGAGTATGTTTTGTATGTTAGATTTAAAGTAGCCTCCATCTGCTTTGATAGCAGCTTGGGACCATGTGGAGTGGAGTGTCACTGAAAACTGTTGTGGGTAAGTGTTGCCTTAAATTCTACACAAAACAACTGTGCAACCAAGAAAGCACAATTAATTCTCTATGCTTCTGTTAGGAAACTACACATGCTTGTACCTATATTCATCTCCTTTGAGTCGCACAAAGACACAGCAGCTGGAACAAAAAATCTCAGATTTCAATCATTTGACCAAAGTTAAGATTCTCTCTGGTCTGATGTCCATGCTTTGTATTTGTTGGTACAAGCATTTCTAGTTTGTGGTCTCCCTCAGTCGTGGTTTCTTTCCAGCAATTCAACTACGATAGCCTTAATAACAGCGTGTCCTCCCAACTTTTGATGTTAATCAGACTCTCCAGTGGGTGCAGTCTTTGCAACTGGTGCAATACAGGATGTCTTTCACAGAATCTGTACATCCTTAAGACTCAGACTTTTTGAACCATCTGACAAATTTCATACCCTCCAAACCAGCAGCCTTCTCACCTATGCTACTGACATGGACAGGTGGGGGAAGAAAGACTGACGGACCCGGGTGGAGATGGGGAGGGCATAATGATAAATGCATTTCAGGTGTCTCTGCCCTGTGACTCAGTCCTGTGCACCCTTGTGCCAACCCCTATTCCAGCATTTAACCAATGCTACAACAATGGAGCAACTACTGTGTCTCCTGATGCACTCACAAAAAGTCCACACACAAATGTACGGACCAGAAACACTGAAGAAAGTCCATACTTGTCCATCATTGTAGGAAAATAAACGAATGCTACTGTGAACTTAAAAACTGAGTCTTAACATGGACAATGCAAAGTTGTTGCAGCTGTCCGCCACATGCACGCCATCTTCAACATGTGTATACAAAATGACTAAAGGTAGGCTTTAGTGAGTCATACTCATGCCTAAATGACAAAACAAGATCTCTACATTTGTAATTGACATTGACCCACAAAATGTTTTCAGTATAAATAGTTATGTGATAAACATACGGAAATAAATTTGAGTTAAAACGATCATGCAAGAGAAGCAACCAGATCAAAACAGTGAGGAGATCAGCAGGTGCTTGTACTCTGACTCATAAAGATTATGTGGAGGCGCAGTCTTTATGAATCAGAGGACGTTTAACAGCTAAAGTGTAAGTTCTGAGCGTATGGCAGTCATAAAAGAAAATCAACATTGATAAACTTTAGAGCCACTGTCTGTTATCTTTAGCTTTAAAGCAAAGGTCAGAGGGGGAGACTCAGCTTTAGGAAGCAATGCTTGTTATACTGTTGTTATGGTACAGCGAAACACATTTGTTCTGTATCTACAAGAAGACTTATCATTCATTGAATGAATCATATTCAGAATTCAGACTGTGAGTGTGTTAAGAAAAACAGCATTACAGTCACATGCTGGCTGGGTAAGTATTCTTAATGAGCTTCTTGCTGCTGAACAGTGTCTTGTATTTAAATTACTCTGACTAATTAATTATCATCAATCATTTTTAACTAGTAATTTGACTAATTACTCTCACCTCTAGTTTTATTAATGCTAACTGCAGGGAGTGCTCTGGTGGCCTGTGGGTTTAAGGCAATGACCACAAAGTGTAGTGTTTCTGAGTCAGTTGGATCTTTTGCTCAATGTTATAGGTCACTTCTCTCCCCGTGTTCCTGCCCATGCCAACTGAAGCACCAAAAGTGTAAGAGTACACTTTAGAGAAACTTTCAATTATTGTACAAGAATCAATAAAACTGTAAATCAACGGTGTCATTTTTATGGGCTAAGAAGAACTCCTGCCTTAAAAAAGAACTGGGGCATACATTCCAGACTAAACAGGTAAAAAAAGCCTCTCCCTCACCTCTATATGTTCCTTTTTTCCTACAGATCATTACAAAATGATATAAATACTGACTTGAGTTTCCATTCTATCTAGTTTATCTAGGTACTTAAAACTTAGTTTACATTGCAAGTGCGGGTTTATCCATATATCAGGCATTTTTTAATGCATCTTTAATGTATTGTTAATATTTCTATATTTTGAACGTTTTCCTTTCACAGCCTGTTTCAAACAACTGTATTTACATTCTGTCAGTAGCTGAAAGTACATTAACGCTTTATGTGTGTAAGAGGGATAAAATGATGAGGAACATACGGTGTCCAGTTCATTCTCCAGGTTACAGTTTTCCAGTTGGTCAGCAATTTCACTAAATTGCTGTGGGTATGTTGCATTCAGCTTCTCAACCCACTCAAAGACGCTATCTATAGTGATGCGGTCCTCCGCTAGCTCAAAAGTATTCAACAGCAGTATCCGTGTCCTGGAAAATAAACAAAAAAAAGACCATTACTAGAGGAAACAGAACACCTTAACTATGACATTCTCTGAAAATATTTAACCATGACATTTAACTATTTATAACTACAGTTTAATATCATATCAGTACCCAACCTAAACCCTTTTTTAACTTGGATGTATAAATGATGTTTATCGCTCCAAAGTGCAACCATTTTGGTCGAAGCCAATCCACATGAAACACACCATTTAAAGCCACAAACATGCAGACAGGCATGCAGGTGGGAGTAAGCGTGCCACACGTAACACACATGATCACAAAAAACACGCACCTCTCCAAGCAGCTCTCATAGTTGACGGTGGCCTTGAACCCATAGATGGCAAAAGTGACAATGCTTGCAAAGACGGAGGTTCCACTATTGATAAGAGAGACAGTGATGGCCTGGCGCTGAAAGTTGTTGTTGTACTGGTTATAACTGGCAAAAGCTATCAGTGACCCAAAACCCAAACCCAGAGAGAAGAATATCTGAGTGGCTGCATTGATCCACGCGTTGGGGTTGGCAAGCTCCTCCATCTAAAAGCAGACAAATGCACATAGCAACGTCAACAGACCCCATTGGACCAACACTGCAAGCAGTCTAAGAACCTAAACAAGTCCTTGTCTACATGAGTACTGCCAATGCTCCAGTGCAACCTTACCTTTGGTGTGAACATGTATTTGACACCATTGACGGCACCATGAAGAGTGAAACCCCGGATCAGGTAGATAAATAGGACCACATATGGAAATGTGGCTGTGAAGTACACCACCTACAGAAGTTAAAGTCAGAGAAATGTAGAAATAATATTGTGAGGAGGGGTGGGATGCTGACAACATCATCACATCCCCACTATCATGCCTCTAGTCTGGCTAAAACAAAAATACCTGCACACTACACAGCTTTTGATTCACAATAAAGTTGAGTCAATTGGGTCAACTGGTCTACAAAATCTGCAAAATATTAGATCTTGTGAGTCCATGTATACTCCTAAATCTCTGTTATTGTTGTGGCAGCTTGACTGCTGTTTGCTATACTGATAATAACAAAATGAACAAACCATATCATGCATTTACTAAAGCGGCATTACACTAAACAAAATTTTATTGAAAAATATGGAAGAGCCAGAACAGAAACCACTTATCATCAGGACAATGGTTTGGCTGCCATTTTATTGCCAAATGAGAACGTGTGAGTTTGGTTTATTTTATACACAGAATGTTAAAAGGATCAAAATAACTAAATAATAACAAATATTTTACATATTGTTATGTATATAAGACCTTGTTTTATAAGGTATCTTTTAAGCATTGAAACTGCCAGACGAGACCCATCCATGTACAATGACAGACACCTGCAAGTGTGTAAGCGCCGAATATCTGAAATACTAGGGGACTTCTTACCTTTCCAGTTGACTGTACTCCTCGGACAATGCACAGGTATGTAAGCACCCAAGTAAGCAGGAAGCACAACGCCTGGCCTGTATGAATGCCTCCATTCTCTTCAATAGAGGGAGAGATGTTCAGTGTTTCCCTGTAGAAGAAGTACTGGGTGGGTGTAGCCTTTTCACATTCTTCTATAGGTGCTGTGAGGTTGGAATTTAAGGGGCACTCTGCCCAGGGAAGGACCGGCTAGGATGGGAACAAACACAGAGCAGTATAGGCGTGTTACCTTATTGTTCAAACGAGATCCAGTATTGAGTATATACAGTAGCAGTTTCTGCTACTGAAAAAATAACAGAGTTTGTTAATTAGCAGCTCACTTGAAATGAATGAAAGAGGTACCAGAAACTCCATGCATTGAGGATGTTGTAATAGAGACACAGATACAGGGATGTCACAACACTAGCAAGACCTAAAATGAGAAAATTACATTAAAAAAAATCAAAAATCTTACAAAAGACAAATTGTTTCTGATTTTACATACTGTACATCCACCTTCTAACCCATAGTGCCTCTGGGTTTATCCAGTGTAACTACATAGATCAAAGCTCTAAGCTGCAGAAGCCAAGACACACGATTTAAAGCCAGTCCCCCAAAAGTATTGTCAGAGATCTGGTTCATACCACAATGTTGAAAAGTAATCACTCACATATAATCACATGTAAACAGCATGAGTTAGTGATTATCTGCATGAAGTGAAATAAATTCAAGTGAACCTTGTATTCCACAGAAATTGTGTTCAGGCAGAAACCACGTCCCCCCACTGACTGGACTGCATAGTCTCAACCAGCCAGACCGATCTCAACAATGCTGTTTCAGCACCGAATAAAGGTCCGACTGTACTTCACTATCATTCTGCTACAGAAGGAAAAACATTCTGTTGCGTCTGTATTTCTCTGAACTAATCACAACTGTCTTGGGCAGTGCTAAGTCCAGGATGCAGCATTGGGGCCTCTGCAAAACAGGAACGGGTTGAATCCTTCAGGCGGACCGTTTTCATGCAGGGAGGTTAGCACAGTCATTAAAGACATCGGAAAAACAAGAGGCCTGCCTTATTGCACAGTCCAGATTTTTATTGGCATTTAGCATGTCAGGTTGCCTACTTGGAGATTGTTGCTGTTATTTCTTGTAGCGAACGTACTTTGACAATACAGGTAGTGAAGGGGAGGAGAAATCTGCTAGAAATGTGCAGTAGGAAGTAGCAGGTGTATACCTATACAGTCAGACAAAGTACTGGCACATACGTTGTCATATGTTTCCACCACATGCTGACTGGGTAGCCACAGAGAACACACACTATCCTTCAACGTCATAAAATCCAACATGCTTGCCAACAGAAAGGTACACGTGCTCCTTAATTACTGTTCACCTGAATGCAGCGAAGAGTCTAATTATGCAGCTGTACAGTAATGTCAGTACAACCAGTTAAGTTATTACTTACCCACTCCTCCCAAATAAGGACTGATTGCCGACCACGCACCAATGCTACCTAAACGCATCTTCTGACCAATGGCGAGCTCCATGTAGAACAAGGGCACGCCCTCTAGACACAGCATGATGAGATATGGGATCAAGAAGCCCCCTGAAACGGGAAAGATGGTTGTACTTAACCAATGCAGAAAAACATAGAAGATAAATACACAAATAAACAAATTACAAGACAGACCTTCTTTGCTCGTCTCGTCGTTCATTTTTTAAAACGAGAACACAGAGCAATAAATGTGTCATTACGTGTTTTTTTTCTTATTGCATCATATGACACAAAGACAATACTGGTGGCATTCGTGTGAAAAGATAACAAGTAAAGAAATAACAAAGCTGACACTGATTAGACTTAAAATTTGATCAGTAATGGCTGTTGTGTTTCCACCCTATCATGCAGCATAATGGAGCAGCCGAACTACTACTTCACTTACAAAACCCCTGCATCCAACTTTTACAGGGTAAAGAATGGTTTGTCTCTCTGCTCTTTATTTAATCTGTGTATTTTTCCACATCTCATATATTTTTTAATTCCTTCTTAAAATGTGAAAACTTTTGCAAGATTATGGGCCGGTGGCACACTGACAAAGCCTCATGGGAGCCATCAGAACTGCTGAATATTACTGGTTACTTACAACGTCTGTTCACAAAAGGGTTCAACTACATTTTTGGAGTTAAGTGAACCAAAATCACATTTGACTCCCATCTAACCTTTAGCGCACATCTCCACTGGTTTACCGCTTTGAAGTTTCGCACCAGGAGAGCAATTACAGTAGATTTTTGCTCATTATTCAGTGATCCGTACAGGACCAATAAAGGCATAACGGTTCCCTCTTCCGACTGCATTGTTCTACTCTGGATGCTTTCAGGACATGTTTCTTGACAGTTTCTGACCCTGTGGTTTTTCCTACCTATACTGTAATACTACTGTTTTATCTTTGCAGGAAGAATTGGTAAAAACAGTAAAACAAAAATTCATTCTCAGTTGCAGTGAATCTTTACACGTAGTAACAAATGTATTAGTGATCAACAAGCAGACTACATCTGCGCCATATAAGCTCTCGCTGTGTTTACATCCAGTACATGTGCGATCCTTCTGGGTAAAACTGTACTGTAACTATAAAGAGGAGAACTATCTAACTCCAAACCACATTTTAAAAGACGTAGCTGGAAGGGCATGCAAACAATAATATCATAATTGTACAATACAGTTTTTATAAACCTCCTCGCAAAGAAAATTTTACTGAAAGCGTGGACGTACTTGACTACATTTAAAAACATTACATAACAATGCAATATTGTAGCTTTTTGTCTTTTTATAATGAAATGAAATGAAATGAAAAATACTTTATTTATCCCAGAAGGGAAATTCAATAATGAATTAACGCTACCCTCCCTGGGACGGACGACCTATGATTATCACGCTTAACTGAAAATTCTTTTGCTTCTTCGGCCACAGAATTCACAGTTCATCTATTTTTCAAATGTCCACCATCGCTCATGATTTAAATTGTCGATTCTACACTTATGACACAGAGCCCTAATAAACAGTTGTGTTGTGGCGACTACATGGTGTTTTTCTATTGCTCACTCCATTACACACTGTACTACACTGCTGTACTGTTACACGTGGTTTTTCAACACTCAGATTCTTTACTCAAATCAAAGGGGATTCCTGAAAGATTTTAGTTGTATTAAGTTATGCCAGTTACAGATAATAAACTAGAGCCTTCAGTATGACGTTACATTTACTGCCAAAGAAACTAAAACAAGAACTTATGAACTGCTATTTGTAAAATATGTATTTTACTTTTATGTTTTTTTAAAAACGCAAACAAAAAACATTTTATCTTCATTTTCGCACTCTTTTCTTTTGTCTTTTTCTTTTTAAAAGTTAATTCCTCATCACTTAACGATAGCGCTTTAATAGCAGTAAAAAAAAAGTAAATGCATAATGTTCTAAATCCCTGCTGATTAAATCACGTAGTTGTTTCCCCTTTCTACCTGGTTTATGACTGTAATTACTTTATTGCTGTTTTCATCTGTTAGACAACAGATTGTTGAACAATAGTTTATTTCACCTGCATGACTCACGTTACAGGCAATGAGTCAATGAAGCCCTATCAGCACAGCTCTTAGTAAATACACACTTAATCAGTATATACAAGTAGATTTACATTAATGTGCATTATTAGCACTGATAGGATAACATTAAAATAATTATTTAAAAAAGCAAATTAAAAAAAAGTAAGTTAGAATTGATAAGCTGCTGTTTAAAGTGAACATAACCAGAGAGCCTCTATTTAATATTTAAGTGAAAGTTTGANTCTGTAACAATTATTGCTCACAATTGTGAATCACACACTGTTAAGGCACTTTTTTTTTTTTTTTTTTTTTTTTTTGCTGTTTTTTTTGTTTTTTGTTTTTATCAGGTATTTCACATTTTGGATTCAGTGACTTACCTCCACCGTGCATTTGACAGAGGTAAGGAAATCGCCATACGTTCCCAAGTCCCACCGCATAAGACACGCACGCCAGCACGAACTGCGTGGGGCTGTCCCAGCTGGGTCTCCCATCTTTTTCCATGTCTGTGTCCCGTCGACGTCTCTAACTTTGTGAATGGAGCTGCGTGTCGCCTCACGTCCTGCCCGCGGTTTATAGGCTCTCTGTGGCGGCTGTGTGGTCAGGAGGAGGAGGGTCTTCTCTCAGGAGAACGAGTCGGTCGCTGTTGTTAAAGGACTACATTTACCGCGCGCCTTTGGCCCAAGAGCGCTGCTGAAGCTTGAAGGGATTTGTAGTTCTGGAGTGAAAGTGGTAGAATAAACTGATAAATACAGCACTCATCCTGGTGTTTATTACAGGTGTAGTAGTGCAGATGCAATTAGCTTAGATGCAGCTCGAGTTGTCACATTTATATTTATTTCATTAATGTAAAAACTGATGTACATGATGGGAGGCTGGGTGTCAGTCAAACTAACCCTGAGGTGGGTGGGACATAGAAGATAAAGCAGGTGAATGTTTAATTATACAGGCTCTTTAACCTCTGTCTTCTGAGGAAAGTCCGAGCCTACCCTTGTTCTGATCTGACAGAAAAAGACTGTTTTCGTGAACAAACCGGCTTCTCTGCAGCGTTGACGTGGACACCAGAAGCTTCAACGAATGGTTCGATGGTCTGTGCCCATCACTGGAACAATGAGACTAAACCTTTGTTGTAAAACCTGCAAGTTGAGAGCTTCAACAGGAATATTTGCCTTTTTATCACAACACATCATGCACATTACTGCTGATGTGGCACCACTTCACTCAACAATGTAATGTTCAGTCTTCTACACTTCATCAATATTTTTCTGCTGATCAGCAAACTGATGAATGCATTAATTATTTTTGCTCTAGTCTGACCAAAAAACAAATCAAACAATTTGATTTATTGAGAAAGTAAATGAACAGATTAGCTGCATGAAAATTAGTTGCGGGGCTGCAAGGTGGCTTAGTGGTTAGCACCGTCATCTCGCAGCTATTTTTATTTTTTATTTGACCTCTATTTTACCAGGTAAAAATGTTTGAGAACCAGTTCTCATTTGCAAACATGACCTGGCCAAGCGGTGCCAGCAGGAACAAGTACACATGTAAATTACAGACACAAATAGACACATAAACATCACATAGAACAAAATTAAACAAGCATGGGGGCATATGCATGTGAGTGGCAAATGGTGTGCATGAGGTCTAAGAAAGTGTGTATGTATATGTAAATGTATATATAGTATAGAAATAAAATCTGGTGTGATCAGCAGGAGCAACTACAATCTGTTGGATTTTAAACTTGAAGGGGGTGAGTGGAGTCAGCGTTGCAAGTTTGAGAGTGTTTTGTAAGGTGTTCCAGTCGTTAGCTGCTGCAAAGCGAAAGGAGTTATGTACAAAAAATAGTAGAGATATTGGGGATGATGAGTTTGATGTATTCACTAGACCTAGTATGATAAGAATTATGGCCGACTTGAAGAAGAAAGGACAGATAGGGAGATGATTTGTAAATGAAATGAAACCATTGGTGAAGCCGCCGAGTATGAAGGGAGGGCCACCTCACCAATTTATAGAGGTCGCAGTGGGGAGTGTGGAACGGTGTATTAGTGGCAAAGCGAATGGCTGAGTGATATAGAGTGTCCAGTTTTTTGAACACGGTGTTTGGGGCCATTTTGTAAATAATGTTGCCATAATCCAGAATCGGGAATATTGTCATCGTGACGAGGATATGTTTAGCAGCATGAGTAAAGGAGGCTTTGTTGTGGAAGAGGAAGGCTAGTCTGGTTTTGAGTTTAGTCTGAAGACTGTTAATGTGTGGGGTGAAAGAAAGAGATGAATCGAGCCAGAAGCCTAGACATTAAAGGAATTGACGTACTTCACAGGCGAGCCATCTGTACAGCTGATCGTGGGGGGGCTGGATGCAACATTCCTCCTGTCAAAGATGGTGCATTTGGTTTTACTGATGTGAAGGTGGAGGTGGAGGTTGTGAAAGCACTGCTCAACAGAAGTGAAGCTGAGCTGAAGAGTGGATGCTGCAGAGTGGAGTGAATGGCCAGCTGAGTATAAGATGGTATCGTCAACATACAAATGGATCCGGGAACCACCAGCAGCTTTTGCAACATCGTTCATGTAGATGGAAAATAAAGTTGGGCCCACGATGGAGCCCTGAGGTACACCTTTGGAGATGGTAAGTGGATCTGTCTTCACCTGCTGGACACGGTCAGTCAGGTAGCTGGCAAACCAGTCACAGCAGATAGAGGACAGACCAATGCTAGAGAGCGTACGAAGGAGGATCCAGTGATCAACAGAGTTGAAGGCCTTAGCAAGGTCAATAAATAAAGCTGTGTAGATCTGCTTGTTGTCTAATGCTGCAATAATATCATCCAGAACCTTCATAGTGGCTGCCACACACCCATGTCTAGCTCAGAAACCCGATTGCAGGTCTGACGAGATCTGGTTTGACTGAAGGAAGTGGCTTAGCTGTTTAAAAACCAACTTCTCCAGAACCTTGGATAGGCGTGATAAACTGGAAATAGGTCGATAGCAGTTGGTTTTCTTAGCCAGAGCCCTCTTTGAAGAGGAGGAAGATCATAGCCGATGGCAGGGGTTTGCAGTTGATGTGAGACTGGGCTGGACTGGCTGAGAGGGAGCAGATGATCGAGAAGGCTGGTGGACAGTGATGTGGAGGCAAGTAACTGGCAGAGAGTGAGCAGGGAGATCACAGTTAATCAAGAAGCAAATACACTGGGAACAAACCCATTACAGTTCAACAGCCAAAGTGCAAAGTCTAGGGAACGATATAGCAAAGACTGGATAAAACACCAGTGTAGATCTACTGCTGGTATTGATTGGGTTATGATTAACAGTTGTACCAATTGCCAACAGCTCAGGAGCTGGACAAAGTGCCACTCCCAGGACATACACAAACACAGAGACACTCGGTAGACAAAGGGGACGAACAGAAACCAAGGGGCGAAAACACAGGAGCCGTGGCACAAACCATGACCATAATAATATGGCAAATGAAAAAACAATTACACACTCCATTTTTGCATTGAGTGCCTTTAACACTGAATGGACAGTTTCCAGATTACAGTTCCTTACATTTGCTTAAGTAGTATTTTAAATGCAGAGCTTTCCCTTGTAATGAATATTTTTACAGTGTAGAATTAGTTATTTTATTTACTCTGAATACTTCCTGGACTGGCGATCTGTCCAGAGTGTATTTTGTCTCCGCTCTACGTCAGCTTGGATAGGCTGCAGCCCCCTACAGCCCTACAGAGGATAAAGCAGTGTATAGATAATGGATGGATGGATGAATACTCTCTCCACTATGGTTTTAAGCTGAACAGCAACCTGTCTTTCTGGAGACAATGTCCAGTTTGCTTGTGACAATCCAAAGACTTCTCTGAACTGCTTTCTTTGAAAGTTCTCTCTATGAAAAACAGTGTTGTGTTAGATGGTGATGCAGCTGATTGTGTATTGGCCCATGTGTGGTTCCTTGCTGTGTCCCACTTAACTGTTGTTTAGTCCACCCCATGTGAGACACTGTGTTTGTCGGGGCCTTTGGACAGCAAATATGACAAACATTAAGGACTGTAAAACATGGCAGATCACTTGTTTTGTAAAGCAACAACCTTAATGAATAAGAACAATATGTATTTTAACTATACCGACTGTAACTATGAAAAACATTCTTCTTACTTTAACAAAATTTAAATATGAGAAGGAATCTGGGGTTAAGAGGTTAAAGCTTGTATTGCATCCCTGAGAATTCTAACAAGAAGCTAGCTATAAAAGAATCCAATTAGTCTGGGTTCCAGTAATCTCTCTTGACAGACTCTTCATGCAGAATGAAGCCTGCTCCTGCTGTGTGGTTCCACATAGGACAAACATGTCTTGACATTCAAACACTGTCTAATTACAACTGGATGGAGGAAGTGCTCATACCCATAAGCAGAGATTTGGCAGGAATTTGTACAGAAACATGCTAACAGGCCTGCACATAGTAAATGTTGTAGGAATTGGTAGATGTATTCAGTTGGTTCACACATTTTTCAAACACTTTAGCATTAGACTGTTATTATTAGACTGTTATTGGATTTTATGTGCTTCTACAAAACATTTATCTGAATTTGGGTGAATTTTTAGTCAATCTAAAATTAGCATCAACGGGATGATCCACAGAGACCCAACCCAACAAGTCACGATCTACTGCCAACATCCCAGTGCCAACCACCACAGGAGACCCCCCATGGTCCAGTGTTCATACCCCGACAGGTCAGAGCTGTCTGTTTGCACAATGGACTGACATAATAATAGCCAGGTGGTTTGAATCTTGTGGCAGATTGGTGTATATCTATTAGCATATTTACTATTCTGCAGATCATGGCCAACATGAGAACAATCTGTTTTAGAACTTGTGGTTTTGTACAATATAAACAGGATTATTCGTGTACATACTCAAGTGACTTGAATATTTGTAACCGAATGTCAGTAAACGTTATTTTTTTCACTTTAAATGAGCCTTTGACTGCACTTCAGGTGCTGGTCAGTGTGGCAAGAATCTTCTCTGCACTGCTGGAAACCATGTGATTGTGTGAACGCAGACTGCAGCTGCACAGCAGAGAAGACTCTGTTTTGCCTGTACCCCACGGACAGAACAGCTTTTTGTCCTAGATACGGCCCTCTGTCTCAGATGCTATGTTTACTTGGGATTTTGTCACAACTCTGCTTGGGTGGCTGAGAGGCCTGAAAAACTAAATATGTGAAGTATAGCGATGGTTTGTGGGTAGGGATGCTGTAGAGCAGCCAGGCTGACAGAGGGGGGCTGAGGGAACATGTTTTGTCAACAGACATGGAATTTTACAGGCCTGACTCCTGAGACGGCCAGCACTGTGCCCTGTTTCCATAAACCAGAACAGGCCTCTCTGACAATGAACCCCAAAAGAGGGACAGCTGGGGCTGATGTAACACCACAATAACATGGAACAACTTCACTTTTATAGTGTAGATGCACCATCAAATTAAATTAATTATTAGATGAAGTATTTATTTGGAAGCTT